ACCAAAAACCCCAACACCGCAAACACAAATTTTCCTAGGCAAACGTTTACTTCCAGTCTCAATTCATCTAAAAGTTGTGTAGATACCTCATGGGTGTCTGTCCAACTCACAGACGACCTTTTCACACTCAGGGGAAGCACTCGGCAGCCATGTTTGTGCACCTGGCACCTCTGGCCACAGCAGAGTGGATGAGGACTGGGCACACGGGGAGAGCTGAACCAATCAGAGCTCCTTCCCTGGGAACTTGGAGTAAGGACTGAGAAGAGCCGTAACAACTAGGGAGGTGTCACACGGGTAAATTTTCTACTACGTGGGGGAGAAGCAGACCTTTCACGAGGCTAGGCTATGATCCTGCCCTCCCCTCCCTGGAGATAGCTCTGAATCCTTATATTAAATTTCCCTTTTTGCAATGTGGTAGAGTCTGCTAAGATGGCCCCCATGAAAGCCTTCCATCCCTGGATGCATAAGCCATCCTCCCATAAGGAGATGGGTGGGATCTATTCCCCCTCTCCAACAGAATGTGGTGGACAGATGCCCTACCAGTTTTGGACCTAGCTGCTCAGAATGCTGGCAACGTCCATCTTTGCTCTATTGGGATCGGTTGCCATGCCATATAAAGAGCTCAGGCCAGACTACTGAAAAAGGACAGATCCCATGGAAAGAGGGGCCACAGACAGCGCACCGAGGCACAGACACGGGAGTGAAGCTTTCCTGGACCGTCCAGTCCAGCCCGGCCACCAGCTGAATGTGGCTGAGTGAGCAACCCCAGCCCATGCCACATGGAGCAGAAAGCCTGCCCCGCAGAGACCTGCCTGAATTCTTAACCCACAGAATCATGAAAAATAATACACTGTTGTTGCTTCAAGTCACTGGATTTTTAGTGCTTTGTTACATAGCAATAGAGAACTGGAATAACCTCTCTGGAATTAATTTTCGGTCTCATAAGCCAAGCGTCCTAAGGAATAGAGAAAGGCTGTAGCAGTCAGGGCATGCAAAATAAACTCTGCAATCCCACTTAGTTCTTGAATAGGAAAGGGGGTGGCACAAAATGAGGCAGTTTAATGAGTTTCCCTTCCTCTTCCTATCTATCACCTCTTCCGCTGGGAATGCTGAAGGCAGCAGAGCTGGGCTGTGGGCTGAGTGGTGAACAAAGGTTTGGACACACCCTTGGGTGGAATCAAGAAGCTCCAGGGAGGGAACGGGCTGCATTGCTTGGGGCTCCTTGGGGCTCCTTGGGGCATCTGACTCTAGCAAAACTAGAATTTCCTGGGAGGCCTTGGGGCATGTCTCCCCTGGCCCTCTGAGAGCCACAGGAGCACAGAGACCAGTTCTGGCAAGCTTTGGAGGTACAAACGGATCTGGAAGGAATAGGGTCAGCATAGAAGGGGCTCCAGCTTCCAGCTCCCAATGTGCCCCCTCCCAACCTGAGCTTTTAAAGTGTCCATGTTCTGCGCTCTAGAAAGTTTGGGGCGGGCCTTCGGGAAAGACGCCTAATAGGTAAGAGCATAATTCTGAGCGTCAGCCAGACAGGATGTATAACTTGACTCTATGTGACCTTGGGCAAGTGACCTAACCTCTTTCGGCCTCAGTTTCCTCACTTGCAAAATGAGGATAAGAATAGCACCTACCCGACAGGGTTGAGAGGAGCAGGTCATGAGTTGATCCATATGTTTTTAGGCTCAGTGTTTGGCACATCGTAAGTGCTCAATAAACGGTACTTATTATTACGACTATTATTAACGATGACTTCGCACCTCTCCAGAGGGCCTTCACTCAGATAACAGAAAGAAAAAAAAAAAACAAAAAAACGATTCAGCATCACAGAGGTGGGTGTCTGGACCCAGATGGGGATGGGGCTACATCTGCGATTTTAACATAGAAGGAGCTCGCTGACTCTGAGAGGGCCAGCCAACCACACGGTACGGGGTCCTCCACCGGACACGCCCCGACACTGTAGTCTGAGCAGGAAGGACCCTGCAGCATTGACCCGCCTCATCGAATGGTGGAGAAACTGAGGTTCCCAAGAAACTGAGAACCTCAGGTTCTGAACTGGCAGCCCCGGCGGCCCCCCATTTTCAGCCTCTCTCCTGGTCTGATGTGTGGCTTTGCTTTCATCTGACTCTTCTCTGATCGTCCCCCAGGGAAGCGTGGGAAGAACAAGAATGAGGGCAGGTTTGGGCTCGGAAGACACAAATGGCACTGGGTTTGCCTCTGGCGACGCTGCCTGGGAGGTCTCCCTGCTGCCAGGGCCTGAACCCCTGGAGGCATCCTCCCGCCTGCCAGAAACACAGCTGTCGGCACAGGGAGACTGTCACCAGACTGTCACCGAGGGCTTGGCCCCAGCTTCCCCCGGAAGCCACTCAGATCTCCTTCTGGGGAGGCCAGGGGCTGCTGGAATCCCCAAACTTGCCAAACAAGAGTGTCAGGGCATAATTCTAGAACGGATGCCGTGGCCAGCGTCAAACTGGGCTTCCTCAGCAAAGTCAGTGTTCATTGGTCGTGGGGCGGGAGCTCCGTGCCGGGCTCCGCGATCATCCTTGGCATGGTGAACGCTCTCTGAGAAGGATGTGCCCACGTTATCCCCATTTTTCACACGAGGAAACTGAGGCACAGGGAGGTAAATGGCTTACCCGAGGTCACACGGGGGGAAGTGGCAGAGCTGGAATTGGAAGCCAGGTCTTTCTGACTCTGGGTGATTAACCCCTGTGCTATTGCGCCATGTCACTGGGTTAGTTGAGGCAGCATCGCAAGACAGGGAGGACAAGGCAGGAAACTCATCCACTGTGTTCTAGAACGTTCAAGCTAGAATCCTCTCAGGCCACAGAGACTGCCCTTCACTTCGCCCCAGAGGCGGACCAGCAGTCACGCTGGTGTAACATGGGCAGCGCCCCTGGCCACAGCTGACCGGACGAGGGACAGCACCTGACACGAGCCAGCCGATCCGAGTGCTGACCTGGGAATGTGGACCCTGGACTGCAAGATTCTAGACTCTCCAGACTCTGGGTCACAGGAGATGGAGAAAGAGACTGGGGGGCAGCGCTGTGTGCCATATTCACTCGTTCACTCGATAATATTTTACTGTACACCTACTATGTGCCAGGCTCTGGGGATTCAGTGGTGACCCAAACGGGCAAAAACCTCTACCTCCAGGAATCTTATAATCTGACAGGGAAAGATAAACAATGTGTAAAAAGCAAATGTGTAAAATATAAAACGTGTTAGCTGGTGGGAACATGTTAGCGCTATGCAGAAAAGAGGCCGAGAGAGATTCTTGCTTCCAAGGGTTGAACTTTAGTGAGCTTGTCCCCACTGCTCCCCGCAGGGCTGAGGCCCGTGGCTGGGCGAAGGGAACATACACACGCTCACACACACCAGCACACGTACGCACGATCATTTACACACACACACACGCTCACACACAGCAGCACACATACGCACGATCATGTACACACACACCCCCGCTCGCCAACCTCCAGCCTGGATAACCCCTCCCTCCTGATATGTCTTTTAAAAAACAAAACAAAAACTCAACCCCACCACCAGGCCCCTCAAGACTGATCCCTTCAGCAACCCCTTGAGGATGCTGACATGGTCTGTGGGGGGGTCTTTGTCATTTGTCAACAGCACCCCTCACCTCCCCAGCTGCTCTGAGTAACGTTATCTGCAGAGGCTCAAGTCAAAGGCACCCACTTCCCACATGTTCACAGTGCGATTTTCCATCCAAGAGCCTTGCGAACCCCTAGCTGAGTGTGTGGGCAGGAGACACACGGGCACCTCAGTGCTTATGTCACTGTGAGCAGTTCTGCCCCTGGAGGAACAGCCTGGGGAGGGGGCTGGAGGAGGAGGTGGCATCCAGCACCCCGCCCATTTCCTATGTGAGAGTCCCGTCTTGGAGGACATCTTGGTGGCCTCCCCACAGCCTGAGTTTCCGAAATCCATGCCAACAGCACCCCCCACACACACGCGCGCTCACCCTCCTCTCCCGTCGCTGCCCCTCACTTCCCCCGCCCTGACGCTCACCCACACCCCCCACTCCGCCTCTCAAGCCCACCCACGCGCTGCCCTCCCCTCATACTCCTGCTCATTAACCGTGTCGCTTCTCTCCCACACACATTTTTTTTAAATCTCCCCTCCAAACTCCACTTCTTCCCCTTTTCCTATCATTTATTAAACATGATTCCCAGAGCCCGGGTCAGGAACCACACCAGCCTCGCTTCACGTACCCCTGACGATCCTGTGGATAATCACCGTTTCCCCGCTTCCACTAGGGAGAGCTGAAGCGACGTGCCCGGGACGCAGGGCGGGCGGCAGGAAGCTGGGGAGGACCCCGGTCTGAGTCCAGACCCCCCAGGTTACCCGCTGAGGCCTCATGTCATGCTGGCTCCCTCTCAGGACTGATCTCCTTATATAATTCGCTTGGGATGTGCCCTCTCTTTCTCACGCTGTCTCTGTGACACACACTCTCCTCCTTGGCTCGTCCTCAGCTGTACGTTCTGGCACGTACATGGCCATTGTCTCTAGAACACGCTTCCGTGCAGCTGAGATGGGCTCAGACACCCTGTGCCCGCACACACACCTGCAGCCCCCAGAGACACGCTCCCGCCCGCTTCCTGCGTTTTAACCCGCCCCCAG